GTTAAGTGCTCCCAGTAGAAGTGTAAGGCCATGGAGGAAGTAGGACAGGAAAGAGGAAAAAGTCAAGGATGTGATGTCAGCCATAGGCTGCCATGAGTGATTTCAGCCTGATCTCTGAGGAGCTCTAGAGTGTAACCTATGCCTTAGAGTTATCAAGATTTTCCCCTCAGGACTGAGGCATTTGTGCTGTCAACTGATGAAAATATTGACTACCAGCAACTCACAAGTTCCTCTTGGGAATTTCCCCTGGATGAAGGGAGCTGCATTGTGCAAAGTTACACGGCCTCCGTGAGGGCATCCTGGCCTCCTTTCCCTCTATTTAGAACAATTCCGAAGAGCTATCTCAGTTCTAGAAGTCCCCAACGTATCGCGACTGCATCACAGTTCGACTTCGCCTTCCACTCAATTCAGCTTCCCTCATTTCCATCTAGGTAATATTCCCAACAGCTTTTCCTCATAAACCTCATCATACATTTCCATGTCAGATTCTGTATTCCAGGGAACCTGACTAAGTTAGTGGACTGTTTTGCAACAATAATTCTCAAACTGAAATTTTAAAAAATGTTAATTTGTTAAATTTTAATAAATTCATTACATGTTAACACAAATAACATTTTATGGGACAAAAATTATCCCAAACAAAAATACTTAAGAGTGGCATTGTAATACACTTTTGCAAATACCTTTAGAGGTCTCATGGAAGACAGATGGGTTCTCATTTGCTTCTGCCTTCAGTTTTGAGCAATGTCACATGTCATGTAGACTGGAAAATTTCACTGTACACAGGATGAGAGTGAAAAAGGAAAATGAAGTCTTGGAATTAATATGAAAATTATTTTGATCTAAGGGATGCCTAGGTTTCCCAGACCATTCTTTAAGAACTGCTATTTTCTGGTCAAGAGGAGAGATTAAGTAAACGCTGAGATTGCCTCCTCCCATGAGCAAATCAAAATTAAAACTAAATTTTATAGAAAAACCACCGCAGGACACCTGAAGATTAGCTGAATAAAATTTCTGCTACTAAGGATATAAAAAAGAAGCCACATCAAGACAGGCAGGAGGGTCGGAGATGCAGACCAGGCAGGTCCCGCACCTGTGGTGTGATTAATAAATGGGAGGGATGTCTCAGCTGTGGAGGTCATCCATAAGTAGTGAGGGGTCCCAGCCCCACACTGTGCTCCCCAACCCAGGGCGGCGCCAGGAAGAGAAATCCCTGTAACATCTGGCTGTGAAAATTAGTGAGGATTGTATCCCAGAGAGACAAAAGGCTTTTGGAGACCAAAACATGCTGATCTTAAAGGGCCAGTGCACAGACTCACTTGCTCTAACTTCCAGTGCAGGGGGAGCAGCTCAAAAAGCACCAGGGACATACAAGGAGGAACTAAATTGACTAACCAGTTGAGGGCTGGAGGGGCAGAGGTCGGGCCAACTTTCTGGGCTTGGAAGTGCTAGCGGGCATTTCCTTTGTTGAACTCTCCTTCCACTCAGCCAGCCCAGTGCAGGCAGGCGCCATAACTGTGCTCTCCATCGACCTGGCTAACACTGTTTGCCCCACCCTTGCAATCTTTAGACTACCCCACCCAACTCACTTGCTCAGCCTGAGCCTCTCCCAGCAACTCCACAGGAGCAGCCTGCCTTGGCTCATGCTGCAGACTCAAAGGACTACAAACCCCATGTGAGTGGTGGCTGCCCTGGGTTTGTGCTGCAGATTTTTTCCAAAGTCCACAAATCTCTCACAAGTGATGGCTGCCTCATCTCACACTACAGACTGTTTGTTTCGAAAGTATAGAAACCACACACAAGCAATGGCCAAACTCAGCATACATTGTAGTTCCTGCCAAGCGGGTTCAAGCATGGCATTAGTAGTGTCCAGTCTCAACTTGCATTTTAACATAACTCTTAGGTGGCCCCAAACCCAGCATGAGTGGCAGCCAGTCTCGGCCTATAACATAATTCCAACTAAGTGGCAAGAAGCTGGACACAGTAGCAGCTGGCCTCAGCACTCACCATAGTGCCCACTATGAGTCCTAAGCTCACGCAAGTGGCAGCCAACTTCATTTCACATCGTAGCCTCTCTCAAGTGCCTTAAAGTATAGCACAATTGGCAACTGACCACAGATCAACTTGTAGCACGTACTAAGGGGCCCTAGTCCTGTACAAGTAGCACAGCAACCCCTCCCAAGAGGTTCCAGATTCAACATACCCGGTGGCAAGATTCAAACTGTACCAAGAGCACCACCTACCACCACAACTGACATGTTTAGGGTGGCCTCAACCGGCACCAGAGCCCCACTAAAGTGACTCTTGCTCCATGAGTTCAGCCCCACACAGCAGCTCATCTGCTTGTAGTCACAGCCAGTCAGCGTGAGGGTCAAACCCACCCTCTGATGTGTCAGCAGTAACTGAGGCCCAACTATTAACAGGAGGGTACACACAACCCACACAGGAGACACCTTGGAATACCCAGCCAATTGAACAGGGAGTCTATGCCATGGAGCTTCATAGGACACCTTCTACATGAGGACACTTGGTCAAGGCTGGCAGACATAGCAGATTACCTAATACATAGAAACAAATGCAGCAAGTCAGCCAAAATGAGGCAACAAACATCCAAAATGAAAAAATAGAACCAATCTCTAGAAAAAGAACTAAACAAAATGGAGACAAGCAATCTACCTGATACAGGATTCAAAACACTGGTTATAAGGATGTTCAATGAACTTGGGAGTAGAATAAAAGAACTCAGAACTTCAACAAAGAAAAACCATAAAAAAGGATATAGTAAAAACCAGGAAACAAAAGAAAAAATAAATGGGATTATATCAAACTAAAAAGTTTTTGTACAGCAAAGGAAACCATTGACAAAAAGACAACTGACTGATTGGGAGAAGATATTCACTAATGATACATCTGATGAGAGGTTAATATCCAAAATGTTTAAAGAACTCATACAACTCAACAACAACAAAATAAACAATGCAATTAAAAAATGGGCAGAAGACCTGAACAGATACTTCTCCAAAGAGGAAATACAGATGGCCAACAGACATATGAAAAGATGCTCAAGGTTACGAATCATCAAAGAAATGCAAATGAAAACCACAATGAGATATCACCTCACACCTGTAAGAATGGCTGTCATCGATAAATCAAAGAACAAGTGTTGGCAAGGATGCAGAGAAAAGGGACCCCTCATACATTGTTTGTGCGATTGCCAATTTGTACAGCCGCTATGAAAACCATCTGGAGGTTTCTCAGAAAATTAAAAATGGACATATTTTTCACCCAGCAATTGCACTTCTGGGTATCTATCCAAAGAAAACAAACAATTTGTAAAGATCCATGCACCCCAATATTCATGGCAGCACAATTTACAATAGCCAGGATATGGAAGCAACCTAAATGCCCATCAACAGACAATTATCCAATTATCTGAATCAAAGAAGTCATGGTTCATTTATACAATGGAATATTACTCAGCCATTAAAAAATGAAATCCTACCATTTGCAATGACATGGATGGACCTAGAGGTTACTATGCTGAGTGAAATAAGTCAGACAGAGAAAGATAAATGCCTTGTGATTTCACTTATATGTGGAATCTAAGGAACAAAAAGAACAAACTGATCAAAAACAGATTCACAAATATAGAGGACAATTTGGTGACGGACAGAGGGGAGGGGGGTTGTGGGGCTGGGAGAATGGGGTGAAGGGTTAAAGAAGTACCAATTAGTAGTTGATAGATGGTCACGGGGATGGGGAGCATGGGCATTCAAAAGATAATAGCAGAATATTATGCCCACAGATTTGATGTTCTGATTGTTTTCTGCTACTTTATCTTGTAAATCGCTGATTCGATCCTCTACTTCATTAATCAACAAGTCCTCCATAAGGTATTATTCATTTTAGTTATTGTATTTCATTTCTGACTGGTTCTTTTTTGTTTTCTATCTCTTTGTTAAAATTCTAAGTTCATCTACTCTTCCCCTAAGTTCACTGAGCACCCTTATAACCAGTGTTTTCAACTCTGTATCTGGTAGATTGCTTATCTCCATTTTGTTTAGTTCTTTTTCTGAAGCGTTGTTGTTTTTTCACTCGGGACATGTTTCATTGTCTCCCCATTTTGGCTGCCTCCCTGTTTCATTTCTATGTGTTAGGTAGAGTTGCGATGTCTCCTGGTCTTAGGAGAGTGGCCTTATGTAGTGGGTGTGCTGTGGGGCCCAATGGCACAGTCTCCTTGGCTACCTGAGCCGGGTGCTCCAGGTGTATCCCTTGAATGGGTTGTGCGCTCTCTGTTGTAGTTGAGCCTAAGCTGCTGTTTGCAGATCAGTGAGAGAACTGACGGTCAGGCTGATTGGTTGTGAGGACCA